TGGCCAGTCCTAACTTCTTGTCTCTTAAAGGTTTGATATTTCAGAGTTTCGAACCGTATTGTAAACACCTGGTCGAATTTTTTAATGCATAGCTAAATAGCTAGATGCGAGGCAGAGTATGCCTTAGGAATATTCTTCTAAGTCTTTTTTACTCAAGTCATTCAGTTTGTTAGAGTAAACGCTTGGTACTTTTCAACTTTTGCTTCCTAATCGTGAAATATAGTTTAATTCGTCAATCTTTTAGAAGTAAGGAGTACTGAGGCAAAACACGAGTAAGCTTGTAGGCACGGGATAGAGTTCATCAAAAACCCCCTCGGTGACATTGATTCGAAAAAATGTCAGCTTTCAAACTTTGTGTTTATAAAGAGTTCCTTACTCCAGCACCAGGTATTATATACTAAACTCATCCTTTTACCCCAAACTTGCGATAATGCATTGATCAAATTAAGGATGAGAAAGTGTCGGATCATACTCATGATGGCCTCCAAATTTTAATGTCAATCTAACATATTTGAGTTATCTTATTTGTTGATTCCGTTTGTTCACATATTTGAGTTATCTTATTTGTTGATTCCGTTGTTCTTTGACCTGCCCTCATTCTAGGTCTAAGGATTTTAATAGTGCAATGTGTAACTAAGAAGGGATTTCCTTCTCAATCTGAATTGTTGATTCATCCTTAGTGAATCTTAAACAAAAGTTTGTTATGGACTTGGTCACCTGCATGTGGTCAAAAACACTTTTTGAATCCTTTTGTCAGATCTTATGTGTCATACCAAAGCATTTCTGATCGGACTACATTTAATTGGTTTGGCTAAGGCATTTCCAATTATCGGAGATCCCATGGAATAAAATTCCTCTTAAGGATTTCCTAATCTAGATGCCTCATTCAGACCTACTTAACACATGGTGTTGCGGAACGTACTTGGCTTAGTACACTAGTCCAAAATATAAGTAGTCATACTCAGGAAAGGTGTTTAGAGCCGCTCTCGGATGACTTTCAAATTGCCTTTTGGACTATTACCTCGATTGGCGTAGAGCCCGGGTTTGAATGTTACAGCTCACAACCTTTCTAGTTGTATAATCTTTTCAAAAGCCGGATGGTGCATTGGACTTTCAGGTTAGGGTGCTATGTGCTCATGTCGATAGACCGGCAATCGTAACCAGACTTATTACGGCTCGAGCCTCTCAAGTTGCTAACCGTACAATACAGGATGGGCTTAATAAAGACTCCTCTGACTACTTTGAATTTTTAGATTTGTAGTCATGCGAAGTTTCAAAGTTTTTCATATTTCTAAAATTTAGGGTATTCAATGTACTGCGATGAATGGTGCAAGAAAGAACAAACGATGGCGAGGATCTGAAAAGATCATTTCCCGCTTTGGGTATTTTGTCCTTAGCATGCATTTAATTAAGTATATAATCAAAAGATTAAAAGTACTTGTCTCTTGGATCGATATATCATGGTTTGGACCAAGGTTGTTCACCTGTCGGATGGGCCTTCAAGTTATTTTCCCCATTTGTCTTTGATAATGCCTTTGAGAATTCCAGAGGATATCTAGGGATACATATTATATCATCTTAGAAGTGTGATTACTTGCAACGTGTGCCAATTCCTAGATTGTAGAAACTCCAAGACTTAAAGGATCTGATTGTGTCTATATCTAAATCAGATCGCGTGTCTTACGGAACAAGCATGGTCATTGACTCTAATTGCTCTGGAATAGGGTGATGGTGGCATCACTGCTCCGTCTGATAGAGTCCGCCCAGAACTGGTGAGTCCATAACTGAACTACGAAAGTTCTTCTCACTTTAATCTACCTTGCTCCGATTGGTTTCAAATTGAGGTAAGTAATTCGCTGTTCAGACATCTACAAGTGTAGGAATCTGACTTCATAACTTCCATGTGGTGTAGGAGTTGTTCGGATTCATGAAACTTTTCTTCTTACTCAATACAATATACTTGTCATTTTCCATTACAAGCTAGCAGTAGAAGAGGACAAATGTGGAGTTATCTTTGCACTATTCTTTAGTTTGTAGCTCGTTGGGGCGGACTTGAATTGGTTGGAACCTTTATGTTAACAGTTAACTTGTTCATGACTGTGTGTATTCTGAACTCAAGGTTGTTGCATGCTGTTGCGTGTTGTTCAAAGTTCAGAGGAAAAACTTAAGGGATTCTATAGAGAAATCAGTCTGTGTTATGATGGTAAAACAACAATAATGTCTTCCACAGGTAACTCAGAATTGAGTTATGCAAAGTTTTCTAGAAAATGACTTCCATACCTTTGCAAAAATATATGGCTCGAAATCCAGTTTGCTCCGAGCAGGTACAGTTTAATCTGGAAAGTCAATAGTGTTGTTGTGATATGTTGCCTGAGTTAAGTTATTGTTCAGCTGCTTTGCCTGCCATTTTTTAGACCTTTTTTTTTTCTTTTGGAAAATTCTGAAAAAATAAGAATATTGTAGCTCGATTTTTAGCTTTCCAAGCATATATGGCATGTCATGGGGAAAAATCAAGAAAGCCTTGAAAACTTCGTTTTCCCATAGTTGCGTGGTTCCAACGAGAATACAGCTTCAACTATCTTCGTACATAAAACTGGAAATTAGCTTTGTTGAAAATTTTGAAACTTTGTGTTGACCTTAAAAACTATCAAGCCTACGTGGCGCGCAGGCCAAGTAATTAATAAGCTAACTACGTCCTTCAATTGTTTGCAAGGTGTGCCAACACGTCGGCCGGGCTCGACCGAGGAGTAAAATGTGTTGATGTTGCGATTGAGCGCGCAGCTGACTTCTCGATCTTGCGACTGGGGTCGAGGAAGGAACACTCTTGACCTTCGGGTTCTAAAGCCTGAAGACAAGGCTACTAGTTCTGCAAAGTTCACAGATCATCGACATCAGATTCGGTCACAATGATTATATTCGTAAGAGTATAAGCACGCCGAATCAACACCAGAGTATAGGGACACAGGTACTCAAAGAAAATGTATGTCTTGATCGTGAAAGTGATTCGGTCGTTAGAATGTCGAACTCTAAAACCTACTTGAGAATACCCAATCATAAATAACTCGGCGTTCGATATGTCGAGCCCTAGTAACTCATCACTTCACCGAGAAGGTTGATAAGACGACCTATGCCAATAAGGATCCGACAATCCTTCTTGATCGAGACTTGATAAATAACCGGTCGACCCCATTATAGTGTTGTTTATCCAAACTAAATGTGCTTCATGGTTGGCTAATTCTACGGCAACAGTGATGTTTATCCAAACTGAAGATGGTCGTCGGTTGCCTCCACAATGCTGTTTATCCAAACTGAAGGTATGTCGACGGAAAAAGAAAACAAAAATCTCAAGGTTGTTAAGAGGTAACGCGTAAAGCGAGGGTTTGAGCAGGGCAGTTTGTGTGTTGAATTGGAGAGGGCTTGTTCGATGTCCTCCCTCCCTATTTATAGTAGCCACCTATATCGAATCCCAATCATTCTCGGATTAGAACTCCTTTCCCCGATTCAACCCTATCTCGGCCAGTCCTACTCCTAATAGGACTTTGAACTTAACTCATTATCAGGCCGCATTCAATTTCAAACTCTAACATCCTTATCCTACCGAAACTCCTTCTCGTAATATGCATCACCCACATCCCACAGGTTCCCGACGGGATATGGCCAGCTTCGATTGCGCGGCCCATGAGCTAGATACCTCTCTAAACATGGCCTCTGGGCCGAGAACAATTCTACACTCAGCCCAACTAGCACCGGGCTGAGAACAATTCTAAACTCGGCCCAAACCAATATTTTTTGGCCCAAACACTTTGATACAACAATCTTCGAGTCTTAACTTCCGTCTCCAACTGGCCTTGTGTCAAAATTCATCAGGGAAATCAGTTTTTCATTGAAAATCATTCTAGTACGCATAATGGTTTTAGGCATTATTACATTGCTCCTAGAGCTTTTGTGAAAGCACTTGCCCCAGTCAGAGTGTTAATAGACTCAAATTGAGTTGCATGTAGACTTTAGACAGAAAATCTAAAAGAGTCGATCTTGTGGTGAGGTGTTAGTCCGCATGGAGCCAAACTTGTTTTCGATTCCCTAGCTTGGTAGCTCTTATGAACTAAGCTCATCCCGGGCAAATTTACTTGGATACGATTTTCCCTGAGTCTTAAGGTCACCATTTTCTTCCTTTTTCGTGATTTTTCATGTTATGGCATGCAGAGCCGGCTTTTAAGGGGTGTGACCGGTTCCACTGCACAGGGCCCCAAATTTTAGGGGCCCCCAAAAATAATTTTTTATTGAATATAATAATATATAAAGTAATATTATATAAAAATAATACATAAAAATATTAATCAAATAAAAAAAATATATAAAAAAATCTGATGGGGCCAAAAGCCATCAGATACGTGCCCCCCAAAATAATTTTTTACTGAATATAATAATATACAAAATAATATTATATAAAAATACTAATCCAATCAAGAAATATGTATATAAAAATCTGATGGCTGATTCCCAACAGTGCTGTTGAGTCCCATCACTGCTGCTTCCTAGTTTTCTTTTCTCACGCCCAAATCCCATCGCTACTCCCACTTTTCTTATTTCAGAATTCACACCACAGTTCCAGACTCCTGTGTCAAATTCCCATCACTGCCGCTGCAGTCTACTTTACTTCTCTCTTCCTATTGTTCTTTTTTCCCACAAATTAGTAAACCCTAATTTATAAGTTCATGAAATTGAAGAGAAATTTCCGAATATGAAGACAATTCAACTGATCAGAATGATGTAGACTTCGATTAAAGTAAGATATTTACTAATTCAAGTATATTGACTTGGAATTTGAAGATTTGGGTATTTCTCATTTATAATAATTTTTTTTCTTTTGTACTTTTCAGGGCAAAATCAAGAGGAGAGCAGTCACAAAAAATCACTAGACGCACACGTATTGCGAACTATCAGGTTTCATTGTTTATACTTACTATAATTTTATTGTGATATTGTTTGAGATATAAAAGATGGCACCTACTAGAAAATATCCATCTGGCTACTTGAAGCGTCAAAGAAAAAGAAAAATTGAACAATTGACTCAGTCTCAAAAAGGAGCTATTGATAGGTTCTTTCTGAAAGAAAAAGAACCACAAAGTTCAGTGGATGATTTAATTACGGAACAACAGGATGACAATGAGCAATTAGCTAATGATTTGGGCAATGATGAAATTGATGATGACCTTGATGAGAAAGATAATCATGAGGATGCTCCTATTGTCAGTGGTCAACCGAGTGAGTTCATTCCCTCAAACATTTATGATCCTCAAATTTGGGATAGTCTTGATCCCAAATGGATTGATTTCTTGGCAGAAAAAGGTCCTGCAAGAGATCTATCAATTGAGAAAGGTCCTAAAGATCAGTTTAATAGGCGTTTTAATGCAGCCTTTTATACTCGATACTTATCCAATGGAGAGAAACATGATAGAGATTGGCTAGTCTATTCAAATGATGTTGATAAAGTGTTCTGTTTTTGTTGCAAATTGTTCAAGAAAGGGCCTCTTAAAGGTCAATTAGCAAATGATGGCTACAGAGATTGGACACATCTCAATGTGAGGCTTAAAGAGCATGAAAACAGTTTTGATCACATCTCGAACATGACCACTTGGATTGATTTGCGTCTTAGATTGCAGAAAAACGAAACAATTGACAAAGTTGTACAAGACCAGATCAAGAAAGAAAAAGAGCATTGGAGGGAGTTACTACGAAGGTTGATCTCCATTGTGAAATATCTAGCTAAATACACACTAGCTTTTCGTGGAAATAACGATAAGCTTTATCAAGAAAACAACGGAAATTTTATGGGCCTAGTTCAAATGATGGCTGAATCTGATCCATTGATAAAGAATCATCTTCAACGCTTCCAAAATAATGAGATTCATTATCATTATCTTAGTCATACCATCCAGAATGAGTTGATATTGTTGATATCTTGTGAAATCAAAGCTGCAATCATTCAAAAAGTCAAAGAAGCTAAATATTTTGCCGTGATACTTGATTGTACTCCTGATTTTAGCCACCAAGAACAGATGACCTTGATCATAAGATGTGTGGATATGAACAGTACTCCAGTAAAAGTTGAAGAATACTTTTTGCAATATCTGATTGTGAATAACACATCAGGAGAAGGACTGTTTGAAGAGTTGCAAAATGTATTAAAAGTTCTTAATCTTGATATTGATGATGTGAGAGGGCAAGGTTATGATAATGGATCAAATATGAAAGGGAGACACCAAGGTGTACAAAAGAGGCTTTTGGATATAAATCCTAGGGCAATGTACACTCCATGTGGTTGCCATAGTCTTAACTTAACACTTTGTGATATGGCAAACTCTTGTGGCAAAGCGAAAGACTTCTTTGGAACAGTACAACGTATTTATAGCTTGTTCGCAAATTCTACAAAACGATGGCTGATTCTAAAAGAAAATATAAAAGGACTGACTCTCAAATCATTGTCGACCACACGATGGGAGAGCCGTGTTGCGAGTGTTAAAGCAATTCAATCTCAACCTCTACAAATAAAAAAAGCTCTACTCCAATTAGCAGAAAGTGACAATGACTTAGTAACAAGAAGTGCAGCTAAATCTTTGGCAACATATGACATTGGGAATTTTGAGTTTTTATTGGGCATGACTATTTGGTATGATATATTGGCTGCTGTTAATGAGGTTAGCAAAGATTTGCAATCTAAAGACATGCTTATTGATGTTGCTATAGAACAAGTACAAGGATTGATCGCTTATTTTGAAAAGTACAGAGAAATTGGGTTTGCAGAGGCGATGATTAATGCTAAAAAACTTGCTATTGAAATGGAAATTGATCCCGTGTTTCCAGAAAAGCGTCAAGTTCGTAGAAAGACATTTTGATGAGAATGAAGGTGAATCATCCCAACCAACGGAACAATCAGCGGAGGAATCTTTTAGGGTTCATTACTTCTTGTATATAATAGATCAAGCTATTGGTTCACTGAAGAGAAGGTTTGAAGAATATCAAGCGTATGATGATATATTTGGGTTTTTGTTCACTTCAGAACGGTTGAATTCGATGGACAACAATAAATTGAAAGATTCTTGTGATCGGCTTCAAAACTTTCTCAAGAAAGATGAGCTCTTTGATGTTGATGGGGATGCATTATTAGTAGAGTTGAAGCTTTTACGAGAGCGTTTGCCAAAAGAAATAAAGACATCCATTGACATATTGAACTACTTGAAGAGGATGCGTTGTTTCCCGACTGCAAGCGTTGCATACAGAATTTTGTTGACTATACCTATTACTGTTGCGTCTGCAGAAAGGAGTTTCTCAAAGTTAAAGTTATTAAAATCATACTTGCGGTCAACTATGTTGCAGGAAAGGTTAAATGGACTTGCTTTGATATCAATTGAAAGTGATTTTTTAGACAAAATTGACTATGAAGTTTTAATTGATGATTTTGCAGCAAAGAATGCACGAAGAGCCATCTTTAAGTGAAACTTCGGTGCTAGACTTTTTTAAGTTTTGTTTATTTGGTTTCCTTAGATTGAACTTATTGTTAGTTATTAGTACTATGGTTACTTTGTAGCTTTTTATACATTTAATAATATTTAGAAATAGATGGTTAGTGAGTTTTAAAGTTTATTTCGATATTGCTTTTTAACATCAATACATTGTTCAATTTTTTTTAAGATGTCTTATAAGAAGGGCCCCTTTTATGAATTTCGCACAGGGCCCCGGAAATCTCAGAGACGGCCCTGATGGCATGATCATTTACTTATCTACCTTTCTTCTTTTTTTGGTTAAATGCTAGAACTTTTCCCACTTCTCGGACTTGTAGAAAAGCCTTACGTATTGATCTTGCGGATTCATGAAAATAGAGTTGCCCATTTTGTAAGCCAGAATATCGTTGGTTTTGCTGAACGTCGGAACAATTAGACGATTTCAGAGTAGTTTTGATTATGCAATGCTTAGTGTCTTCGTGGTTCTACCATGAATAGGAGCTACTGTGCTCCATGTTCTCTCAGAGTTCGTCCAAACTAATCGGATTCAGGACACAATGGAGCAATGGATGCTCATGTTGTCTTTGGACTATAGAGATGCTGTGAATTGAATTAGTGTTGCATGCCCAGATGTATGGATCATGGAGTTGATTCGATGATGGATGTATAAGTCCAAAATCATTTAATCAGTGCAGGTCAAATCGCAGATGGATATCATGGGTCCGGAAATTGTTTTTGCAAGTCGCATTGCAATTAGACATGTCAATAAACTGTTGCAACTGGGTTCACGTTCTGATTGCCAATGGTTCATTCTATTCGTAGCCTTATTAGGAGCAGAAATTGCAAGACGAGGTCTCGGTGTTCATTTCTTGAACGGGGAAAGGTCGATCGCCCTACGTATGCGAGACCTAGTAATTCTATTATGAGGTTGTGGTCGCGGTGAACAGATTACAGAACTGGAACCCTGCTTTCAATATTTTTCTCATCGATCTGGGAATATTTCCCTCATTCGACACTGTCTTTGCTGATCGTCATGATTTTTTCAACTTTTGAGGATTTGGGAAACGTTGATTCTTAAACTTTTCATCTCTCTAATGGCATTGTCATGGCTACTCGATCAAAGGTTTGGGAAGAGTTGATTCTTGAACTTTAAATCTACATATCTCTGGACTGATAAATGTCCCTTCTAGTTTTCATTTGGCCTGCCTAATTCTGCTGTTCCATATTGGATTCCTAGTCATGAAATCTTCCCTCGTGTTTAATTCAATGCCCCATGCCATCAAGTTGTTTGAGTTCTCAAGGATGGTAGCCTCAAACATATTCATGTCATTGTTCTGAATTTGTGGTTCCTACATACAAGGATATCTAGTGACGCAACAATTACTTTAATTGAATTATTAACCAAGATTAAATAATTTTTAGACTGCAAAGAACTAGGTGCATGGCGCATGTTGCAAGTAGAATAACATAAAAACAATTTATTCATAATAGAAGACAAGAATTGAACATTTACCGCTAGTTGTTGTTAGAGTGATTTGGTCGAGTGGAATAGGGGTTCACTTTCAATGAAAGTACCAATTGTTGGAATCAAATTCACGCACATCCACAGACGGAGGCATAATCTAGTCGAACTAATCTATGATCTCCAATAAGGGGAAAATAGGGTTGATTGGGGGTGTGGTTGGATCCAAAAATGACCGCCTACATATTTCTTGGAAGGAGAATCAAACCACGGTTGTAGTTCTAAGAAAGAATGAAGTAAACCATCCTTGACGAATAGCCAATGGCAGAGCCTTGGGAGATCAGTTCCTCATGGACGTGTCTACGCTCATCTCCCAAGACATGTTTACGCGTAGACGGCGTCATAAGGGCCTCTGTTAGGCATAAAGAGAATATGTTTGTAGTATAAGACCAAGAGAGGGAAGCCAAAGAAAGAGATGTGATGTCTATATAAGCTTAACAGAGAGAGATAGAAAGATATATCAGCCCCTGATAAATACCCAGGCTAATGTATTTATGACGATCCTAAGAGTTCTTATAGGAAAAGTAAATTTCATCAAATTTGGAGACTATCTAGGAGGAAATATAGGATAAAATATCCAATCTTTCTAATATTATGATTATGTTGCCTAATCCCTGAGATATCTTAATTTGACATTAATTAATAATTAGGGTTCCTTATTTTAGAGACATGAAATACTTTAAATAGGACCTAAACCTATCCTACTAGACTAGGCTACATGGGTTCCGGGCATTCCGATCATTTTTTCCACATGTCATGGGCCTAGAAAATCATGGTCCCACATCTACAATCACGAAGCCACGCGCCAAAGACCAAATATCGTATAGAATAAACTCCCAAGAAACGTCAGACCCACACCTCTTGTTAATCATCATAATCTCCTCTTTAGAATTAGATTCAACTAGCCTCTCCGCACGCACTAACGTGCGTGTGAGAGGCATTTTTGCATCACGAGCGCTACGCGCCCCTAAAGGTGTATTGTGTTAGTCTTTTTCATTGTGATTGTCAAGATATATTTTAGATGTATTGAGCAAAGAGGAACTTTATCTTTATCATGCACGTCTTAAAAAATTGTCATATTTTTTGTTTTCACTTTGCCTACAGTAATGATTTAAATGTTATTCATGCAATTGTCAAACAATATCATCTGGAAGCAAGTTCCTACCTTGTGTTCATAAACAATAGTAAGTAGATGTGAATAAAAAAAAAGTAGATGAAAACATTAAGCACTCGTAGCAAAATACAAAACAACTTAAATGTCAAAATATAAAACCGACATCACAATATGTACATTTTTCACAATACCCATAAAGTCTATATGTCATTGTTTCTTTTGAAAAGAAAATTGACATCAATGCTGCAATTTCCATCCATTCGTTCCTGATTGACACTTCAAATTTTCATTGTCAATCTACAAACAATAGTGAGAAAATTAAAAATCAAATAAAAAAAGTTAAATGATAAGTGAGAAATGCATATTAAAAGATTATCGTTAATAAAGTTGTTACCTATTAGGAATCACCATAATTAGCTGGAATGAAGCAAGACTTCTTTGTATACTACATTCCGTGTAAATACACCTTGTTGGCCGACTATGGAGCCATTTTTTACTAACACAGTTGTGGTTGACTTTGAGACCCCCCTCGATAAAGCCACATATAATTGTCCATGACTGAAGACGTGATCTGGAAGGTAAACGCCTACATGTGGTATTGTCTGACCTTGAGATTTGTTTATAGTGATAGAGAAACTTAGTTTCACTGGAAACTGCTTTCTTGTAAGTTCAAATGGAAGCCCAGCAGTATCAGTACTTTTGAGAGGGATTCTTGGTAAAAAAACTCTGGATCCGGCAAATTGTCCAGTTAGAATTTCAGCATCAATAAGATTTCGGTAAGAACCACGACACAATAATCTTGTACCATTACACAATCCCAATTTTGGATCAATATTCCTTAAAAGCATGATTGGAGCACCTCTTTTTAGAGTTAACTTGTGCGGAGGCAAACCACCAAGTGAGATTGAATTCAAGAACTCTGGCTGATACAAATTCCTTTCATCATCCTCAACTGAATCAAATGAATACATTGTCTCTTCTAAACCTGGAAACATATTGATTATCTTTTCATTTAACATATCAACGTCTTCATTTGTAGGAGTTACCACTGCCCTTTCCACCATGTAGGTTGCATCATTCATATGATCCTCTAAGTTAGGGAAGATTTTGGCAATTAATTGATTAATGGAATGCTCACTCTCCCATGGTATCACCATGCATTCAGGTAGTTTTACCATATCATCCATAATAACATCTTCATTCCCATCACCAACACGAAGTAAAAATTCTGAAAATTCACGATCATTTATGGATCTCATGTTTTGTTTGAGCTTTAAAATGTTTACCTCTGACCAAAATGATGCCTTAACAACACTTGCTTGGATTAGTTCGGACTTGGTTCCTTTCCGGATAACAGGAAGAACTTGTCGAAAATCTCCTCCAAATATCATTATTTTTCCCCCAAATGGTAAGTCAATATCCGTTAAGTCTCTGAATGTTCGATCGAGTGCTTCAAATGCATGACGATGCGTCATTGTTGCTTCATCCCAGATAATTGCCTTTGCCTTTTGTATTAGCTTTGCTAAATCAGATTGCTTACCAATCAAACACATCGATGATGCATCGAGACTAAGTGGTATCTTGAATTTAGAATGTGCTGTCCTCCCACCAGGCAATATCGTAGCTGCTATTCCAGATGATGCTGTTGCTAATACTATGTGCCCCAACCTTCTCAAGCTTGCTAACAATGCGCGATATAAGTAAGTTTTTCCAGTTCCACCGGGACCATCCACAAAAAAAGTTGCATTCTCTGATCGTTGAACCGCACCCATTATTATGTTAAACGCATTTCTTTGGTCATCATTTAAGCGTTCAATTGCATCAAGATCTTGTTGTGGAATACCTATGGATATCTCATCTTCAATACATCTTGTCATTCCTGAACTTGATTCATTTCCTCTTGTCATTTGGGGGAAATCAAACTCGTTTATACTCTTATTAAATTGAACCAAAAGTATGTTCAATTCACGCAAGAGTCTGTTGGTAGCAAGTGTGGGAGTCATGTTAGTCATGGTAACATAATCTTCTATCATGAATGGATAGAACTCATCCCATAACCCTCGAACACCAATTGGTGCACAATATACCAATATGGTGACGAATAATCTTCGTAAAGCCGATGGCATTTGAATTGTGGAGGCCTCTAGCAAAACATTGTCGAATACTGTCATCTCTTTCTAATATAAACCTCGTTGTTCTGCTGCCTGTTTAAATGTTGGATGCAAAACCCCATTAATCGTTCTCAAGTTTGTGAAGGATGTTGGTCCTCTAACATGATTAAGAAGAATTCGAAGGTAAAATTTTTCACCTTCAGCAGGTGAAACTGCATATATTCGCCTAATAACCTTGTTACGATTCATTCTTTTAGACCACTTTCTTTAAGCTTGAATCCATCTGTAATGTGATGGGATTTCCATGTATAAAGTACCGTCGCGCGCTTCTGCATCCACATGATTAAGTGTAAAAAATTCATTTAACATTGTCTTTCTTGTACTCTCATCATGTAGAATATTTATTATGCTCTCGTCGGCACGAAACTGAACTTGGTGCATATTAGGAAGATGTATTTGCAATCGCTCAACAGATGGGTAAATTCGATTAATAATGAACTTGAATATCTTCCATAATGCCTCTGGTGCGCAAACCCATCTTGCATCCTGAAACTGCTTTATTTCATCGTATTCAAGGTCTGATTGCACTTCGACTGTCACTCTATCTGGGCCTTTGTAAACATACTTATATAAGTACTTGACACTTTTTATGCTTGCACAAATTTCAACATTGATGTGACAATCATACCTTAACAGCAACCATGGATTATATGGAATGACCCAACTATTATCAACCATTATGTTTCCTTGTCGATCAAGAGAAACGGGCAATCGATTTCCTCGCCTTTGATAAATTGGATACGAATCATTTCCTTGAACAGTGACTGGTGCAGATGGTTTGGGATACTTTCTTTTACAACTCCCATTTTTCATACATGGAGATTGAGGATTATGAATCCCACATGGGCCATGAATCATATGCTTTAACACCACATTGTAAAGTTGAGGCTCTACGTCTTCGTTTGGTATTTCAGCTCTAACAATTCGGTCATACTCATCGGGGTTATTGATCTTATCATTTTCATCTAACACCACCAGCATATGCACATGTGGAAGACCACGTTTCTGAAACTCAATAACGTATGCGTACGCAACAACACTGCCCAGTACCCCCTTTTCAATGATGTCTTCTTTTAGTTGCTCAAGTTTTGCACGAAATACTCTAGTGAGTAAGTCAGGACGATCTTGTGGAGTTTGTCCAGCGAGTAATTCACTTTTGATTTCTTCCCAACTTGGGTTACATGTCATGGTAATAAAAAGATCTGGCTTTCCGAATCTTTGAACCAGAGTCATTGCATCTTGATATCGTTGGTACATGTCACGTGGGCTTCCAACAAATGATGATGGTAAAATAATTCTACGCCCAATGCTACCTGTTAATTTTTTATTTTCAATTAACTATATATATTGTACAGATTTGAACAAAGTTATATTTTTAAATAACGATAACTGAAATGATATATATACCTGCATTGTGTTGACCTGCATTTAAAGAGTCTTGAAGTCCTTTATAGAGATCTGCTCTAACTGTGGCTTGATTAGAACGCAGCCATCGAAGTTTTTGTGATTCAATTTTAATGTAGTTATCTACAGCATATTGTTGCAAGAGACGCCCACCTCGAAGCAAAAGTGATGATCCATTATGGCGTATCTGCAGAAGCAAATTTCATATATTGCTTTTAATATGGGAATCATCATTCATTTATATATATTGGGAAGTAAATTATGTTATTGGTACAAACCTGTAACATATAAGCATAATAGTCGCAACATGTTATTGCTCTTCCACCATCATCACGACTATTAACATCCCAACCATATGTACCGTAAGGTAGCAATAGTGGATACTGTAACGGATCATAAAATCCGACATAGTCTCGGACGTGAGAAAGTCTTCCACTAATTGTCTCGACCACGATATCCCTTCCATTTGCAATGGTGGCATCATCTCCATCTATTATAATTGCTGCAACTTGTGATGCTGATGGTAGATTATACTGACGCCGATCTATTGGTTGCTCTTTTAGGATCAACTTGCAATTCGGCAAATCTTGGCGTTGTCCGAGGCTTCGCAATGTATGAACAAAAGGATTATGGTTGTTCAACATCTGTTGTATCTTTTCAACCACACGTCTATCTAAAACTTCACTTTCACACATTCGGTTTTCAACTTCATGCTCAGTGTCATATATATAGGCTTGTAAAAATCGCGGTCTGTTTCCTTCATGTGGTAAAAGTCCACCAATCTTATGATATAATGCACCTTGAGCACGAAATGTGTAAATCCCACGGCCACTAATATTTATTCTTTCATCCACGTGTACTCCCATTGAAGTGAATGCAAATGCGTGATTGTAAGCTCGAATATTTTGCCTGAAGTGTCTACCCTCATTTGTTTGGTCAGAGAAAAGAGCAACCATTTCTGGTAGAGATTGTATTGGGGGTAAAGCAACTCTTCCTTTCAAGCAACACATATTCAAAGTTTCTCGAGTAAACAATCGTGCGTAGCAGTACGGACATGTGGTTGGAGAAGGTAAGCGGCAACCTAGGATACCTCGATTCTCATTATAATTTCTAGCACAATTGTGGTTTCTTCTTCCTCTATTTTGCCGCACAATACTATTGGTTCTAGTTGCATGTTCTTCTTCTGATATTTGTACATGAATATCCAACACTCAGTATAAGAATTTCCTTTGTAACTAATAATATATCTTCTATATATAGATAGAATTATATACTAAGCTCACCATTATGGGGAAGAGTTGAGAGCATCCCATCATATATTTGTGACCTATTCGAATGTGTCAATGATCCTATATGAGTATGCATTGTAGCAGAAGTTTGGTCATCACGATTTGTGATATCTGACAGAACCCTTGAACTCGCGCTTTCATGCTCAATTTGTTCTAATAAATACACCACATTATAATGTGATTAGGTAAAAATTTAATGTTTAATATTTAATATATTTAGCTGTGGTCTAATATTTTGTAAGACTACCAATAAAAATAACTACAACATTGAGATCAATATGAGAGTACGAACAAAAGAATAAAATGAGATTTCAATGCACAAAATAGTGTTCTAAAAATTACCTAATTTTTAAAGTGTGAAACAAATACAAATAAAGAAATTTAAATAAATACCTGGAATTTGTTGTTGTATATTACTGGGGTTGACCTCAACATCATAGTTAGCCAAATGAACTCGTTCTTGTATATTACTGGGACCTACTTGTTGCATAGTTTAAAAAAAATAGAAATTAGATTTTTTAATTTTTTTTAATTATGAGTTTAAGAAAAAAGAATATGAAATAAATACCAGCAATTTCTTGATGTATGTTACTGGGGGATGTCATAGTATGATCATCACTTGGAGTTGGAATTTGTTGTCTTTTTTCTTGTGCTATTAGGCGTCGTCGAGCTAGATATCTTTGATGCTCTTCAGGACTCAATGATTGACGCCACTGTCTTGTACGACTTTGAGCACACTCCATGGAAAAATTTATCTAAAAAATTAATAGACATAATGAACCTAAATAGAATACAAATTTTGTGACATTCCACAAATACGAAAAGGTGTATATAGATGCCTACGAACAGATGAAAACAAAAGCTTTATGTACACAACACTATAATACAAAAGAACAAAATAAAATAATCACAAAATATTTTTGAAGTGTAATAAGTATCAATGCAAGAAAATGACGGGCCTTTATACACTTGTTGGTTGGTGTTAGGCCTTGGATATAATTTCGCCTTAAGGGTTTTTTTTTTTTTTAAAAAAATATTATAAATTAGCGTAGTTTATATCGTTTTAATTTTTATGTCAACTGGATGAGTAGAATTTTAAACGTTTTGTAATAACCCTAAACCCTATCATATCATTGTTTAATGTCAACATTCCCTATTGCACCAGAGATGTGTTTCTTGTCGAGTTAGCTTAATGTGAATGCCTCTAATTTATATATGGACATGATATAATTGTCAAGTATTTAAAAGTCAAGCATTTGGTTGGAACATATTTCATTTAATATTTTTTAGGATTATAAGGGAGTGGGAATAGATGAAATATCGGATAGAGTTCAATAATGGGTAGCTTTTTGACCATCGATTTCGACTGCGAAGGCAAAATGTAAATTTATATTCATTTAGAAACGTAAAGGTGTAAATTGAACAAAATAACAATCAAATTTATATGCTAACATGATTAGGTACGTTTTCACATTGAATTAGGTTTCAACATTAGAAGTTCTTTTCTCAAGTCTCAACATTCAGCAAAATGAAGAAAACAAAAGGCCAAAAGCAAAAAGCCACCTCTTCCACTGTTATCACCCTTCCTTTTCTTCAAGGCTCACTGCCAACATAAAAGCTATGGCAATAATACAGTTTCCCCCCTTCCTTTTTGTTCGTGCCTCGACAAATGGGTCTGCAACCAATGAGTGTGTAAAAGCATCAAAGGTTTTGTTGGTAACATGAATTGTATGTGTTTTCAAAAACTCGGATTTACGAAATTTGAAAGAGAACAAAATGTTAAAACATAAATTAGTAAAAGAAAAACATATATGAAAGAAAACAGGTAATCATGGAGTTGAGGATTCTATTGTGTAAATCATGAACACATTGTACGCAGTGAGGCAGTGAAAAAGGACTACCTTGGTTCTTAGATGTTTAAGCTAAAAATAAATTTGTAAGCTTATAAGCAAGCAAGACATCGATATTTCAAAATCCCATGACTTTCGGCAAGTACTTACTAAATCTTAAGTCCATATAACAACTCAAAACATTTTGTATTGCACTAAAGAGAAAAAGCTAGCAATCATACCTCAGCTAACCGAGCAGCAATGACTTCAATTGACACAAAGGTCCGAATCTAATCAATGTTAACAAAAAATTACACTTGCCAAAATCAATCCAATACCTGTTGCACAATCACAAAATGTGTTAAAACCCGAAAATGGGCGAAAAAGCAAAGAAGAAGCATTGAAGAGATTAAGGCATTTAAATAATTGGATGAAGTGGACAAAGATCAGTAAAAAGTTGGGGAGAGAAGTTATATCTCTACAGTGGTTGCTTGGTAATAAATAATGACACTACAAATTGACATAGTAAAATTATAAAACCATCAGAAAATTGGAATTAAGCCAATAAGTTTTTATTTTTTTATTTTTATAATCTTAGATGGTAAAATGAAAATGCACCAAACCAATATATACCTTTCTGATCCCCACTGTCACTGAAACCATCTTATCACTTCTTCATTTGCCAATACAGTACCAAAAGCGGGCACCAATTAACTGGCACTTCAGCCTGAATGTAACAAAGTAGAGTATCAGATCTGTGCACTGGCGGAAATGATAGAAACTACCACCGCCAATATCTTATGCATACCTGATACGCCAATCCCCTCTTTAATCGCTGAAGGAAGATCCATTGGGTCCATCTATAATATTCATGATCCCAGTCGTATGAGAATCGTAATGACTTAAGCAAGCAAAATACAAAATGTCAATATATAAGGAACAAAGAATACAATTTTAAAACTGAAAATGGACAAAAAAGCAAAGAAGAAGCATTCAAGAGATTAAGGCATTTAAATAAGTAGGACGAAGTGGACATAGATCAGTAAAAGTTGGGGAGGGAAGTGATAATCTCTGCAATAAGGCAGTAAAAAATGAGTCCAACTAATTCAATCTATTCCCTTTTGTCTACTGGCTATTGTGCCACACAATCCCATTGTTGAAATTTTCCAATTTCATATTTCCAGTAAATGTGTCAATCCCATTTAAATAATTACACTTGAAAGACAATTCAATGAGAAAAAAAAAATAGGAAAGTAATTTGAAACTCTTCAATGGAAAAGGAGAAGGCGCAGAGAATTACCGTTTCGTTCCGTTTACGGTTTCAGAGAGTAAGGGAGGTCTTCTTCGCAACAACTTTATTTACATCACTATAAATCGCATAAACCCTACAAACTTCCATTACATGTCAAAAAAAAAATTCCGTGAAAATTGAAAGGAAAACTGATGATTCAAATGGAAGAAAGACAAAAGCCCAATCACATACTCAAAAGGAACACGACATATAGCTGTAAACGTACCTTTGTCGACCTTCTCTTTGAGCTTTAGGAACTGGAATTGCATTTACTATAAAGCCGAACTGAAATGAAAACCAAATGAGGGGAATCACTTAAACTCACAAATAGATTACAACAACCTTAATTCACTCGACTTACACATTCAAACTATCGAAACTAATTCCCGGAAACGGAACTAAGTACATTATCGATTTCTGGCATTTCTACTACAAAATTACCAAAACATAAACAAATTGAGCTTTATATAATAACTTATCATAAAGGGTGAACATACTGCAACCTGATCAAACAGAATGATCGGTACAACTCGGGATTGAAGAATCTTTGATTACTTTGAAAACTTGGTGAAGTTGCTCCTCAAGAACCCCATGAAGAAAAATGACAGGCTGCAGGATAAGATTCAAAACGTATTAAATAAAAAACCAATAAAGATGTCCTCTGCCCAACTTTTCTGAATGAGATTCCTAAAACATGCAGAATATTTAAATTCCTTTATTTTACGTAGGCGATCTATATTTATAATTAAACTCAATTTGGCTCAAAGCTCCTCAATTTCTTTCTTTTGACGCTTGAGAATAGCAAAATTTGTTAGAATCTGCCAGGAATGACATACTTTGAAATAATAACAGTTAAAACATATGATAGAAATAAGAGAACAATTTCTTTGTCCAACATATACAAACTTGGGAGAATATGAAGAATTAATCCAAAAAAGATTGCAAACGAAGCCAAGAGAGAAATTTAAAGTACATCAGAGAAAGCAAATAAGCTTGCTTGCAATCAATTAAAATTGCATGGCATGTATAATTTGACATATGTTCAATGTCAGATCAAGACAAACAAACCTGTTCAAAGAACAGGGGCGAATTATTAAGGTACCTTAATGGGTCAGCAACCAATCAGTCTGTACAACCATAGAAAGCCATGAAATTTTAAAAACTGTAATCGGATTTACGAAAAATGGAAGACAACAAAAAAAAGAACATGTGAATGACTAAAAACAGTAATCAAAATTATTCATTACTTGAGCAAAATTAATCAGAATTTCAAAACACCAATTTTGTTTTATATCTTCTTGTTGCTTCTGGTGACATGGGAACGAAAGGAGGATGGTGGTATGTTGTTGCCGCAGTGAATCAGGGAGTCAAAGCTCTTTGCCCGGAATTTTCTTCATCCTCTGCCCCTCCCCTCCATCAAGGTTAGCAGGTCAGAAGTGGATTTGAAATGTGGAATCATGGAGTTGAGCCTAAACTGCAGCCGAAATCATATCCTTTAAAAACAAAGAGATTGAACATTTCCTAAAAACCCAATTGGATGAACAAATAACTTTTATCGAATTTACAAAAGTTGAAGAGAACGAAAACTGAAAACATGAATCACTAACCCGATGAAAGTTTTCGATTTTTGCACATATAATTGTTCCGAAAGCTCAAATCTTTTACTAATTTCTGTCACTGAGTTTGTCGATCCTTTTTCGTTTGGAATGAACTGAAACCACACAGCGAACTCCTGAAAACCAAAATTAGCCTCCTTCCGATTACTCATCTCTAAATACTGGTGGTATGCAGGTGGTTAGTGTTGAACCTTCCCACCAAACTCAGATCGTGGAAATCTTTGGGGGAGAAAACTGCCCACTACTGCTTAGCAGTTTGAGAGGCTCCGAGACTGCATGCTTGTTTTTCTTCTTTTTTTCAATTTTTTGTTTTCTTTTCCAATACTTTTTAGATTTTGTTTTCTACCCAATTATGGTGTTTTTACGAATTTGTCCTCATTTTCAAAACTTTTGTGGTTTTTAATTGTGAAGGAAGCAAAGGGCAATATTGGATTTATTGAATGTTTCACCATTTTAGGGTGCTCACTTTATATATATAGATGACCACTTTCTGTAACCCTTTGCTGCTGCATACCCGTAAAACTTCCCGAATGGCTGCTGCTTCTGCCATTGTTGCATTTGAGTACTATAAGTTTTCCGTTCATCCTGCAAATGCAAGTAACATAGCAAAATCCCTAACGATCCATCTAGCCGCTCCTTTCATCTTTTTTCGCTCCATGCCATATCACAATTAACTTTCAATGTCCCAAAACTTAGTTTAGTCCATGTTTGATTCATGTCTACTTGTTCTTTACATTTAATCTAGGCTTCTCACCCCTTACCTTTGAGAACACCGCATGTCTATATTCTCTAATATGCCCATCTCATATTTTAATCGCATTCATAGTGTGAACCATCACTCCACTAAATACTAGTTCATTCCTGCACTTCCAAATCCTCCATAGCCCAAACATGATTTCTTGCAAGATTTTATCCTTTTCCTTCACCTCTTGAAACTTTATACACAAATTCTTCCATCTTTCAATGAAATCTTACCCCATTATACTATTGGAATTTAGTTGTACAAGTAAATCGTACTAAAAAACCTTACAACATTCACATTCAAAGAAGAGATGGTTCTCTGTTGCAATTGCCTTTGCACATAATCCGCAGCTTGTCTCTACCCTCATATTGCGCCGCTCTAGATTACTCCTCACTACAAGTGCATTGCTATAGCAACTCCACAGGAACACCTTAGTTTATTTGGAATCCTCAAATGCCAAAATATTTTTCCAACCTTGTTGTAATTTATCCAAACTAGATGGGCCCGTTGTCTTCCTCCCTAAGCCTCCAGATTCCAACAAACCCATGGCCATCATATAACCTGATTTCACTAAGTAATCACCATTTTTTATGTGATGCCAAATTCTTCGATCTTTTCATCCCAATCTACTAAAAGGAATCCTCAAAATTAAAGTGGCATCATCACCATCAAACACTTGCCGAACCATTTCCACATTCCATGATCTCCCATCTTCATTGATTAGCTCATTAACCATAGTGAACTGTCTGTTGTTTATAGGTCTTTCTTTGAATGTTGAAGGTTTGGGAAGCCACGGGTCCTCCCCTATATGTACGTTGGCTCCGTCCCCTACTTTCATCGTAGACCCTTCTCCAATATCTTCTTGGACTTGCGTATCCATTTCCACCCCCAAGATGATTTCTTCCCAATATCGTAGACCCTTATCCGAGAATCACTTTTCAGGAAATACTTCTCCCATAACACCGTGGCCAATAATGAATCCGGGTTGTGAAGTATTCTCCATCCTATCTTCGCAATCATTGCTAAATTGAAGCACTGTAGATCTTTGAAACATAAACCCCTTTGTTGTTTACACTTCTTCATTCTCATCCATGAAACCCAATGCATTCCATGTTTTCTAGACTTTTTCCCACTCCACCAATACTGTATTATTGCCCCCTTCAACTGGAAGTTTGAAACATGCCATCGCATGATTTGGCATTGCCATTACCACTAATTTTATTAACAATTTTTTCCCCACTTGCGACAAGAATTGCTATGCCCACGCACTCATTTGAGCTTTAATATTATTTTGGACCCCTTCAAACATTGCTTTCTTAGAGTGACCAAAATCAGCTTGCACTCCCAAATATTTCCCAAATCCATCTTAAATCTCTAATGTTCATGAGTTTCGAGATTTTTTTTTTCTCTTCTTGGGGCACTTGAACCAAAAAACAATGAAGTTTTCTCTTTATTAATTACTTGACCCAAGACTTATGTGTTGCTATCAAGAACATTAACTATTCCTTTCGCTTCATCTTCATTTGCATTGCAAAACACTGCCGAATCGTTAACAAAAAGAAGGTGTGATAAAGAGGTCCCAACTGAAGATGCTCTAAAGCCATGAAACACATCTAACTCCTCCCTCCTCCTTAATAATGCTAAGAACTCTTTGGCACAGAACAAGAAAATGAATGGGGAGAGCAGGTCCCTTTGTCTTAGCCCTCTCTATGGTTGAATATATCCTTTAGGGATGCCATTTAATAAGATGCCAAACAAAGTGGAAGAAATGGATGCTTTATCCAATTACAAAACTTGTTCGCAAAACCTAATTTCTTCATGACTGCCACAAATACTCTCATTCCACCCGATCATATGCTTTTGCCATATCTAATTTAATCGCAATGCCAATAATTTAATTCTTGCCTTGAACCTTAAGGGAATGGAGGATTTCATGGACTACAAGAATAGTATCCTCAATTTGCCTTCCGAAAACAAAGGCCAATTGGTTTCCATTAATCAAGAAGAGAATGCTTTGAATAATGATATATTCTTCTCAATAAAAGGAACTTATAGGTGTACAACCCTAACATAAAAGGAAAGAAAACTAATTACAAGTGATTACATGGGATTACATATCAATTAAGGATCCTACCTAAAATACAAAAGTCAACACTCCCCCTCAAGTTGGTGCATATATGTCGCTCATGCCCAACTTGTGTAAGAAACTTGAAAACTTGTGACTCGAAACAGCTTTTGTGAGGATATCTGCTAACTGATCTTCTGTTCTTATCACTGGTACTTCAATTATTTTCCCTTCCAATTTTTCTTTGATGAAGAACCGATCAACTTCAACATGCTTTGTTCTATCGTGTTGTACCGGATTATGTGCAATGTCACGAGCAGCTTTATTATCACAAAATAATTTCATGGGCTGATCATGTTGTATACCCAAATCGCTTAACAGAAGCTTAAGCCACAAAATTTCACAAATCCCCAAAGCCATACCTCTGTATTCTGCTTCTGCACTGGAACGGGCAACCACATTCTGTTTCTTACTTCTCCATGTAACCAAGTTACCCCCAACAAACGAAAAATAACCTGATGTTGAGCGTCTATCATCAATGGAACCTGCCCAGTCTGCATCAGTATAACCTTCAACAGTAAAGTGATTATTCCTCTTAAACAAAATTCCTTTGCCCGGACTTCCCTTCAAATATCGCAATATTCTCATCACGGCATTCATATGTTGTTTTCCGGGATCATGCATGTATTGACTCACTACACTCAAGGCATAAGCAAGGTCCGGTCTTGTGTGTGCCAAATACATCAAACGGCCTACTAACCTTTGGTATCTTCCTTTGTCAACTGGTACTTGATTAGGATCAACACTAAGCTTCAATCTTTCTTCTAATGGTGTAGCTACTGGCTGACAAGCTGACATGCCAGTTTCGTGCAACAAATCAATAATATACTTCCTCTGAGACAAGAAAATTCCAGAACTGCTTCTCGACACCTCAATCCCTAAAAAATATTTCAGGGTCCAAGGTCCTTCATTTCAAATTCTGTAGACAGGTATCTTTGCAATGCCGCACGTTCTTCCGGATCATTACCTGTTACCACCATATCGTCTACATACACAATAAGTGCAGTAAGCTTCCCATTCTATCTTTTCAGGAACAAAGTATGATCAGAGTTACTTTGTCTGTAACCAAATGCTCTCATAGATTTTATGAATCTTCCGAACCATGCTCGAGGGGACTGCTTCAAGCCATACAAGGATTTCTTCAACCTGCACACTTTTCTTTTGTATTTATCTGGAGCATTACATCCCGGTGGAAGATCCATATAAATCTCTTCTATCAAGTCTCCATGCAAGAAGGCGTTCTTCACATCGAACTGTTGTAAGGGCCAATTAAGATTTGCAGCCAAGGACAACAAAACACGAATTGTGTTGATCTTGGCTACAGGTGCAAATGTATCTGTGTAGTCGATTCCATATTTTTGAGTGTATCCTTTTGCTACCAGTCTTGCCTTGAAACGATCCACCGTCCCATCGGCTTTGTATTTCACAGTATAGACCCATTTGCATCCCACAGGTTTTTTGCCAGCTGGCAAATCTGTGATCTCCCAGGTAGCATTCTTCTTCAAAAACTTTAACTCTTCATTCATTGCTACTTGCCAACGTGGATCAGTTAAAGCCTCCTGCACACTGTTAGGAATAGATACAGTAGATAATTGATGCACAAATGACTTATTTGATTCTGACAGGTGACTGGCAGACACATAATTACTTAACGGGTATAACACATTAGACTCAGGGTTGGGCTTACTCACCGGATACCTAGTTTTGCATTTAAGGTCGGCTTCATAAGTAAGTTTAGGAATACCTCGGTTGACGCGATCAGGGAGACGACGTGGTGGTGGTGCATCCGGGATCGAAGACGATTGATTATGGTTATTGGGACTCAAGAACAACTGTGAGGTAGCTGGCGACACAGGGCTGTCCGGTGGTGAGGAAACTGGCAGTGAGCTATCAGGCAGTGAGTTATCTGGCGATGTCGACTCGTCCCTTTCAAGGTTTTCAACATTGTTTCCATGTGAATGATCACCACTTGTTTCCAAGACATTACCACTTAATTCCAATTCATTCACATCATTATTTTCGTGTGAATGATCACCACTTATTTCCAAGACATCACCACTTAAATCCAAATCATTCACTCTATCTATATCTGGAATAGTATAATCAAGAGTTTGAACTTCTTTCTGATTCTCCCCCTGAAGTGAAGACTCGGGATTGGCAAAGTACATATCATTCTCATGAAACGCAACATCCATAGTGACAAACAACTTATTCGTCGGTGGGTGATAACAACGGTATCCTTTCTGCCTTGATGCATACCCCACAAACACACATCGTAAGGCTCGAGGTTCAAGCTTACTTCGCTGTTGTTTATGAAGATGAATGAAGGCCACACAACCAAACACATGAGGTGGAAGATTAGGGACTGCAGGAGCATCAACATGTGAAGAAAGTGCCTGAAGGGGTGTCTGAAAATCAACCGATCGGGAT